GAGAGCGTGAGTCTTCGACGACGTCCTCCATTTAGAGGATGTGGTTGAAGTCGGGGAGGAAACCAAAAACGTCTTTCTTATTGGAGTAGAAGTTGATAGAGAGAAGGGGAGGGACATCAAAGCCATTCAGATAGGCGGCGCGTGAGATTGCCGGGGTGTTCGATTGGTCAAAACGCCCAAATATCCAATTATGCTCCTTAGCTCACCCACCGCCTCAGAGGCTGAGAGGAGAGAGAAGTCACGGCTCTTGAGCCCAATATTGATGACGGAGCATAAACTGGGCCGCTACCATCAACTTGACGGGTCGATTAATTACAGTTAACTGGGTTGGGCTTTGCTTTATGGCACTTGGTAGAGAATATTGGCACAAATAGCGCTAACTGCCAGTTTGATTCTCATTAATTGGAAAAAAAAAGTTTTGAACGATATTTTTAAGAGCATGTGTGGTTAAAAAGTAGGAAATTTTTTTTTCATACGTGCAAAATATTTTATTCTGTGAATATGTAGTTAAAAATGATCCTGTAATAAACAATGAAATAAATTAATTGGTGGCAAAGAGGCACTAAATTGCACAAAAAATTATTGAAACCAGGTTATGTATACTTCAGTTTTTCCACTAGTTTTGATGGATCTAGATCAATATGTTCTTCACCATTAGAGAGTTTCTTTATGTTAGTTGAGAAATAAATTTTGTATAATTTTCATTTCTTTATTAAAATCTAATATTTTGGTTATATAAGTAAATGCGAGAGATAGTTTATATGACTAGCATCGTGTTCTTGCATTCGTAATTCTCAATTTTGATAATTGAATCGAAGATAAAGAAAATAAAAATATCAAACGTAAAACTTGTAAACTTTATCACGACGTGTTGATGGCAATCGTGTTTTTAGAATCTACAAGACAATTTTCAGAGTAGATTGTCTTCAAAATGTAATAATTTATCAACCCTTGCTCGACTTAACTAAAAAGTTGATAAAAATTTAAATAAAAATTAACAATTAATTTTAACCACATATTTTATTAATCTACAATTTTTTAATGGCATGTTTCATCAACTTTTATTAAAAAAAAAAAATGATTTTTCACAAAAGCAAACGGGACTTAGGTTGAATTTCTCCATTCATAAAAGAAAAAGGCTGCAAGTACATGAGAATATTTACAGATTTTCTACAGAATTTTAATTCCACTCACATGGAAAGGCGGGGTCCACATGAATTAAATATTGCTAAAAAAATCGAGATCCACCTATTGTGTATATTTTGTCCATTTTTTGTATAAAATTCTCTGTACTTGTAGCATTGCTCTTCATAAAATATTTTCAATGAAAGGACAACACTCACAAGTATATTGTTGATTAATTTGTTGAGGCCCTCCATCATATGAAAATAATAAAATAAAGGGAAAATTGCGGCTGTGGTCCCAAACCTTTCATTTTGTTGCAAATTACACCCAAACTTTTATTTTTGCGGCTGAAGTCCCAAACAATTATATATAGTTGCAGCGTCGGTCCCAAGC